TTCACATCGACATATGGTGGCCCCAGGCGGGCATAGCCAGCGATCGCCTGCTCGAAGATCGCGTTGTCCCAGGATGTGATGCGAAACTGACCGAATCGCCGCACGATCAGCAGCCCGTACACAACGGCGCTCATCAGCGCAAGCCCAAACGCGAAGGTGCGGTCGGCGGTACCGTCGACAGCCTGATCACGACGGGTGGCGAACCGTTTCACCGCCTCAACCTATCGAGTGGGGCTCACCCAGATGTACCGTGCGTCAGATTTTCACCCGTGACCGGGTCGAACACGTGCAGATCTTTGGCAGCCACCGACAACGTCACGCCTCGACCCGTTTCTAAGGCCCGGTCCGCCGGCAGTTCTGCCATCACGAAACTCTGGAATAGGTCGAACTCGATGAGTTCTTCGACTTCGGACAGGACCGCTTCGACAGCCGGGGCGATGTCGTAACCGACGTACGCGAACTGGCTGCGCCCACGCCACTCGGAGTCGTCAATAGACGCCTCAAACGTAAAAGCGTTCGGCGTCGCAGCCTCACTGAGGTGCTCTGGCCTGATTCCTAAAACGACAACCTCACGCTCACCGACTCCCTGCAACGCCGCCCGGGAAAGGTTGGCTAATCCCAGAGGTGTCTCGATTCCGCCTTCGACGGGGAAGCCTGGGACGAGGTTCATCGGGGGCGCTCCGAGGTAGCCGGCCACGAACATGTCGGCCGGCCGTTCATACAACTCCCGCGGTGTGCCGACCTGATGCACGAACCCCTGGTGCAGAACAGCCACCTGATCAGCCGACGCCAACGCTTCGTCGGCATCAGATGTCGCCATGATGGTGGTCCGGGCACGCTCTCGCTGCCATTGCATGACCACCGACCGAACATGGGGACGCAATCGATCACTTTGGGCTGCGAATGGATCATCCAGTAGATAGGCGCGCGCATCACGAACCAAGGTGCGGCCAGCCGCAACCCGCTGGCGCAACTGGTCATCAAGATCATCGGGATAGGTGTCCAATAGATCAGACAGGCCTAGCAAGTCAGCGAACTCTCCTACTCGCTCGCCGACGGCTGTGGGGTCGTAGCCGCGTCGCAATTGAGCAGCCAGGGCGAGGTTGTCGTAGACGTCCCGCTTGG